ATCAATACATACTTACCCAAGTAATATATCTGTATATATAATAACCTTTTTTAAAGTTAGTTTCTAAGTGGAATGAGATAACGTTTGATTGTAACAAGCTATGATCGGATAAACATGTATTTATAATCATTTCATTCAATCAGTTAAGTATAAATAAGTAAATTATATTAAATAAAATTAATATTTTATTTTAATTAATAACTAATTAAATAAATAAAACTAAATATAAATTTTGTCCATTAAAACAGATAACGACAATTTTTTATTTGAAAAAAATGTAAATTTACCATTTGAAAGATAGAAGAAAAGTGAAAACAGAATCAAGTTAACATGTGCCAAATAAAATCACCAACATTTTGCCTTGTATATATATACAGACAAGGAGATTTTAAAATACATGTACTGTGTAGAACTATGTAGAAATTTTATTTAAGAAACAACTTAGTGCCGAATATGGAGATACTTCGTCATGGTGTCGATACTTTTAATTAGGGTAATTTATCGTTATAGTAAAGAGTTTTACTTAGATAAGAATACATTTAATGACTTAATGGTTTAAAAAAAGAAATGAAAATTGGTTTAACCAGCTAATGGATGATTTTATGCATTCAGTTAAGTTGGCATAGATTTTTTTATTAAAGAAAAATGCAACTTGTATTTGAAATAACTAGTCACTTTGATTAATTTCTATAGTGTAATAAGATGAAGATTATCAGAACTATATGGTGATATATTAGCGCAATACATTTCAAAAAATCTGATCACACATATACTTGTTAAGAACATTTACATATAAAAATAAAGGATCAACTAGACTAGAAATGGAGGGTAAGAGGAGATATGATAATAAAGAAATAATGTGAAAACAATTCGAAACCTCATCATCCTGGATAATAAGCTAAAATTACCAAGGTAGGTTTAAAGTGAGAACAAACTGTTTTTGAATATATTGCACTAATATATCACATAGTTCTGATAATCGTCGTCTTCATTTTGTTTTATGTATTTGAATCTTCGCATTTATGTTTAGGACTTAAACTGATCAGTCTCTTATTGATATATATATGCATCCTATGCGGATTGCCACGATATTGAGTGCCAGAGAAAATATGAACTCTAGGATGCAGGTACACCCAGCTGACGAGTCCTAAGTAGGACGAAACGTGCGTCCTGCATTCTACTGCTAGCCACCATCTATATTTGTTTGCAATGTAAAGTTTCAATGGGAACGATTAATATATTAAAATACAAATTTTGGTGAAATTTCTTTTCTAAAATTTGTATCATTTGAGATACCATCAACAGCCTGGTAGTACTGTTTGATAGTCTGCCCACAACACGACAAAGAATTCGACAGAAAATCTTTCAAGTATTGCAGGCGGTAGTCTTATACATTGAAAATTGATTTTCGGACATAATAATGATTTACATTCCGTGAAGATTTTAACAATGAATACTAGCAAAACCTATTATGTTCATACTTATGATATTTTTTGATTACTTGTCTTAAATCTTAGTAAAGTTAACATAGATTTGATAAATATTTTTAATATCAGAAGGGGTTTTGTGGATATTATAGTAATTTTAATAGTTGAGATCATGAGTCAATTGAAGCTAGACCATTGTGGAAAACCTAGAAGCACTGGACCACCGTTTCCTCTTATTGTGGGACTCCTCAGAAATGCACATCTACGATCCCGCTTTGCAAGATTCAAACCCAGTACCTATCAGTCTCGCGTGTGAGTGCTTATCCTCTAGACCGCTGAGCCGGCATCCGACGGTGTTAATGTCTAGCTTCAACTATTCCACGAAATTGAACTACACATCCACCACATAATAGTAATGAAATGATATAAAGCAGCAGTACATAAAAAGGTCATACGGAAAACAAATCTGTTTTTCTAAAGAAAATAGTTTGCTGTTATAAACAGCAGATACATATTAATACGAATACATGAATTCTCCTTTCTTACTTGTTCACATGCGAGCTTACCTATCAATTTAATTCAATGAAACAGTGTATAAACGAATCAAAAATACTGATCAAGGAAATAAATAAACTCTGTTTATGGCTAGGTAAATCAATCAACAACTTGGGTATCCCCAACCTTATAATCGGTTGGAACTTACAATCAAACGTTATGCTGATCGAGTCTAGAGAACAATGTTGATTTTTTATGCAATATCCATGCTAATCACCCTCATACTTTTATACGTTCTTTTTGACTACTTCTAGTATTCAAATGTTGATCGAAATTTAATACTTAGTGACAATCACTCTCAATATTATTCGATCACAACTGATGAGAGAATTTTATTGATATAGTTGTTTTATTACGAAGTACTTCTTAATTCCATATGATAAACAAATATCTAATTCATTTTAACAGCTGTTGTATATTCGTGTTTACCAGATCGCTTAAGGTAAATTAAACAACATAACCTAGAAGCTTAGTTTATCATAAACAATTAACTTTTCAATGATTTGACTTCTGGTTGTATATTACATAAAAACAACTTTATATATATATATATATATATATATATATATATATATTCCATTCTCGTCCTATTTTGAACAAAATATATTTTAAACAAATAAAATATTTTGCCTAAATAATCACTATGCAGTTTTCCTGGCATCTTGCTTTTGTATTTCAAGTATTTATTAATTAAAATTTCGATTTTAAAACTAAAAAAAATATAAATCACTAATATGTAGTTATGTAACTTTCTATTTTGGGCTTATATTCTTTTATTTTGTATCTGTGCACATTTACAATTCAGTATGAACATTCAGACTTTTATACTTATCGATTATCGATTTGTGTTACACAACTTTCATCATTTTTCATAGAAAAATAAAGTATTATTTCAAACATACAGAACACAGATGAGGATGGACACAATACATAAATCGTTTAGCAAGGGAATTTCTACTTTTATGCGTTATTGACCCAGCATGTGTTTAAGTGAATATGATTTAGTTTGAACTATAAAATGTAAACAAACTTTGATTTAAAAATAAACATTTGGCGCTTTATATTTATATCAAATTTGATATCTTATTATGGTAGATTAGTTTTTCGGATCAAATAAAAAAAGGTTTAATCAAGATTGTTTAGCGTAAGTTCAAATAATATTTCTAATGAAAGAATCATTTTACAGTAATCTACATTATCTTGGAAGAAACATGATTTAAAATCATCCTGTTTTTCCAGACAGATTCTTGATACTAAAACTTGAATCAAACCAGAAATGATCAACCTTTATGAATAGGTCTTTTTTAATCTTGAAATTGTGAAATCAACGCTGAATGCTTTTAGATTAACTTGTATAATACAAGTTCTAACCCAAATAAATCAATGTCAATTTGTGACATATCTTTTAGTTGTTAATCCAAAACTTTTAGTCAAACACACTTATTGATATGGTCATCGTCAATCAGTCACTCAATCTGTAACAACGTGGAACTTCCTACGTACGTACATCAGTTCGAGTTGACATACCACATTAGCACAGAGATGCAGTTATCGATTCAAATCCCATTGTGGTAGTAGTGAAAGTATAAGTAGTAATTGGGAATATTAGGGTTTGATGATGTTATTCAAGGAATATAATACGGTGGAATAAATTTGGAAAGAAAATAAATGACATGAGTAAATGAGTAATCTACATCGTACTGCTGTCCATACCTTAATGATAGTTTAATAGTATTTAAGAAATTTGGATTTAATCACTAGTCAATGTAACTCAGTACTGTACCTAATTGTATTTGTTTCTTACGTAAACTACGTTTGAAACATGTGGAGAGCTTTAGTTTTCTAAAGATTGAAGAGATACCTTGCTGATAGGTTCCAACATGAAACCGATGTTTAGCTCTTCTTATTAAATGCCTTCATTTACCTAATAGCTATTCATTTATAGATGCGCATATGTATGATTTTGTATGGGCATGTATATATGTGTGTAACTATATGCATCTATGTAATAAACAAGAATGAATATTACAGTAATCTATCAATAGATAGTTCATGAAGTCTTTATAGTTTATACAAACTATAACTAAATCTAATTATTATTGAATAAATATTCCAGTGCTGAAATATTTTAAATGTGAATGACGTAACAGGTTTCTGATACAAAGTGATTATTGAAAATCAATACAAAATATCAAATTTAGATAACGTAATCTAATGAACACATTTCAATGTGATCTATAAGATGTACTCAGCACAAAAGATCTATTAACATGACATCGTTTACAACTAATCATTCATCAGTAAGACTCCATATTATTGCTCTTTGCAATTAACAATTAGTTTAATTATTCGCATATAACTTACAACATAGGCTTTAAAATAAATGAAACAGTTTCTGCCAATCATAGATGTTTTGTTTTTGTGCACTCTAGATATAAATGAATAAAATATTGACAAAAATTGTATCTATTGAATATTGTTTCCTAAAATGTTCCTAGTTGAATTCCTACTACTGAAATGTAATTCTTGTTGACAATACATGTTCCATATTTACGATGTATAATCTCAAAAAGGAAGTAATGGTAAAATTAGTGAAAGAAAACAAAACCAAATGTATCATCAATCATGGAAAATATTAAATTTATCATCTAGAACACAAAACCGACGAAGCATTGTATGAACGTTTCGTCCTAGTTCTAGCCTACTCTTCAGTGTACATTGAGGACGCAAATGAACCCAATATCAATAGATTATATGTACAGCAAAATAGTTTTCAACCATATAGCGGAAATCAAATTTGAAAAATTTTCACCTTCAGCTTATTATCAATAAAGTGAAATAATCACCAAATGTAATTACTATTACTGTTACATATTCATTAGAATTCAATTTACCACGTCTATTTTATATTTAGATTAAGTAAACAAAAATAATATGTATTCAAAATGTGACATTAGTCAGAGTTTATCCAGTGAATATAAAGGATTTAACAAAATTAAAACTATGAAACAGACTTACTTTTAATATTGGGATTTGTCTATTATTCAAATGAAGAAGCAGAAAACGCAAATATTTTGATTTTTTTTCACCAAGTGATCTCACGTTAGTACTACGATTATTTGTAATAATTACAAATATTCTTTTAAAAAAATGTAATAATTACTAGGATATCACGTCTTCCTATATGGAAATATTTTCCACATGTATTTTGCTTTATAAAAGGAATTAATATTGCGTAGGCTGCACCAAAGTATTTGGATAAAGGCATACATTATAACACCTATGTAGATATATCTATGTGTGTGCTGGTGATTTATAAATGAATCAGGCAGACTTATTTTCCCAGAGATTTTAGTTGGCTAATTGTCTGGCATCAATATAGAATAAGCTTTACTGTTGCTGTCTGTTTCCCTTATATGTTATGTGGTCTGATGAAAATTTAAATATGATATTAAATAAATTGTAGAATGTATGTGTGTATAGTTTTGCACACAAAATTAGTGTAAAATTAGTGAATAATGGTGATGTCAGTGATTGAATATGTATACATTGAAAAGCACACACAAATATACACACAGGTATGAATTTCCGTATAAAGTATATAACTTAAGAAAAGAATAAGGGTGACCATTTATATAAGCTGCCATATTGATCACTTTCATCCCTTTTTTATGTATACTATAGAACTTGCCTGATAATGGACATTAAAAAGTTTTGGATAAGATTTCGTTCACTAACTGAAAATATCTTCGATTTGGTGTAAGAATGACAAAAGGTGATAAAAATTCCAAAGTGATCACGATTAAAAATAGTAGTAATGGAAATTCAATTACTACTAAATATCTGAATTTTCATATTTCTGTACTGACTTGCATGGGAGTAAACCGTAACATGCAAAAAGCTCTGAACGGCTGTTTTCGGCAGTGCTCATTCACAACCACACGTGGAATGGACTTAAAAATAACAATTGTGAACGGTAATTTGAATATCTAACATTGAACTGAGCAACATCTGTACTACTGAAAATATAATCATATTATTAATAAATATTTACAAATAAAAATTGTATTCCTGACGTTTCGTGACTTAATGTAAGCCACTTCCTCAGAGTAAATAAATAACCGAAATTAGATTAACACACTTTGGATAGTATGAAGGAAATAGTGAAAAATATCTCAACTTACTAATTCACATCACAAATGCGTACATTTTTCATACCCACATTCTAACATATAAATTAATACAGTAACAGGTCGTATAAATTCAATTTGACTAAGAATAACTTGCCATTACTTTCTTCTATTTAAACTTATGTTAATTTAATGTCGGTTATTTATTTATTCTGAAGAAGTGGCTTACATTAAGTCACGAAATATCAGAAATAAATTATTTCTACTTTTTGGGATATAACAAAAAATATATTTATTATTAACTTTCTACTCAATTTATTTGAAACTATATATATATATATATATATATATATATATATATATATATATATATATATATATATATATATAAAGATTAAGGTTACACTTGATTAATTGGTTGTAGTTATTCAAGAAATACACAAAATCTGTATTTCTGTTGTGTTTGTATTTCTTTTGCATGTATCCTTAAATGAAAATAGGGAATGACCTGATTAGAAACAAGGTCAATAACAAACTTAAATTAGTACATGTTTTGCCCTTCTTAAACACAAATTAAAATCTTTCACTTTTGTGTAAAATATTTAGCTATGGAATGATTATAAATAAATGTTTTATATATTATCACTAATTTCTTATGATAAAAATGATACAACATTAATTAACTACATCAGATGTGATTTATATAACACTAATGTTAAATAATGATGGTCACAAATCTATAGTCCTTTATGAAGTATACTCAATTCACTTTCATCAAAAGATTTACATTGAATCGGTGCATGTACAATGTTCCTGCAATTCATTATGAATTACCTAGTTTCCTCGGTTTTTATTATTCTTTTAGATAAACTGTAATTCTGTTGACTGACTATCGTTGTAAAATCTGATTACTACACTACCATTTAGTAGACTAAAAACATGATGCTAAGATACCAAAATACTGTACTTTTCAGTTCTGTGCATTTTATTTGGTGTGCATTTCCAACGAGTTCTAAGTTGAGACGAAACAACAACACACTCGACCTACATCTTCAATGATTCTTCAGGTAATACTTGTCTGGAATGAAATGCACATGTAGAACAGTTGCATATCTTTTCTATAGTTTAATGTCATTTTTCCATCTAATTATGTTTTTTTTTTTTAATTTCACTATGAATACTTTAAATTCAAGTAATTGATAACTTGGAATAATTTAAATAAACCATCATATAAATGAAAGTATAAAACAATTATTTATTGATTTAATCATTTACCTTCAATAATCTACTTGTATTCATCATTTTTTTATTACCTTTTTTTTCTTTTCAAAATAACTTAATTCTGGATTTTTGAAGAATCCTCTATTGTTACATAAAACAAATATGAATTTATAAAAGTATATTGTTTTTCTATATTTCTCTTTTTTAAAACAGAGATTTCTATACATGACATTTCCACATAAATTGTATTGTAGATTTATTACATGGACGCCTTTAACTAAAACTATAAAATAAAATGTCAGATTCAATAAATAAGGTTTCATTAACATTAATCAATAATATGTAGTTGAATTCATAGAATCAATCCCTTTTATATGGGGGGGGGGTAAGGTTGTAACATGTATATCTAACTTTCTATGCATGAATATAGAGTGTGCTACTTATTTATATTAAGTAGCAAAATCTTTACACAAACAAAAGCATCATTAAATGTTGTCCAATAAGATTTTATTTTAGACATAAATTTATCTATCTACTGATTATTAAATAAACAGACTAATCTTGTTGTTGTCTGTTTAAATAAAAACTTTGTAATTAGTGTTTATCGAAATATGTAGAAACAAGAATTATCGGGTGTTTGATTTATATCATTCAATATTTCAATTATTTGTTCTGCTAAGAAATAGGAAATGAATGAATCATAGATGTGAATAGGAACTAAACTGAATGTTTGTTTTATGAATTTTAGTGTTTGGCTAATTTGCATTTATCTGCGTCGTTTCCTATAATTAATTAAATGAATTAGTGGCAATATTATATTGTAACTTGATTATCTAACTTCCATGCATAACAGAGTCTAGTTTCTATACCTTTTATCTTAATCTAAATTATTGAATTAATGTATTGTCTATCTAGTGATCACTGTTCCTATAATAGACTAGCATTTGATAAATCATAGGTTATTAGGAAAAATAGCTGTTAGTACATCATCAAAAGTTAGCTGAATTATCATTCAATAGTAGTTTAATGTAATTATTCATCATTATGCCTCAACCACTAATGCTATTGGCACCCAAAATATGAAAAATCGAAACGTTTATTATATTCAAACAACTATTGGATACATTAAGCCGCTCTTTGTAAACCAGTTGGCTATAAAAACTACAGTGTTCATTTTACAATTGATACAATCAAGTAAATTAGTATGAGATTGCGGACGGATTCATGTGGATAACATGTGCAACTATAATAAATATATCTGCTAACCTTAGTATAGAAAATCTTCAATAGTTTCATCTCATTTGAGTTCTCTGAATTAATGATGACACTGAGTAGACTTAGTTAGTAAAAATTTGCTTTTATAAAAATAATTTAAGTCAGTCAATATACTCATCTGCGTGTATATTCAAAATCAGTTTTTTGCTAAAGCTAAATGGTATTATGTAGTAAAATAACTATTTAATTAACGGTGTATTCTTATCTAGGCTACTTACAATGAATTCATGAAATCTATTCTTATATTAGTTCACACAACGGATTGATTATGAAACTTCTCGTTTTTTTTTCTGTTTTTTTGAAATCTGTAATTGGAAAAAGTGGAAACGAAAAGTTGATAGAAATGACCAGAAAATTTTTTTTTATTTAAACACATAGTTTGCCTGATTGAATAAATACAGAATAAAACTATAATGGTTAAAATAAAATCGATTAAATTCTATAGGCATATATATAGTACTAGGGTACTTTTGTTCGTAAAACAAAGTATAAGATTTAGAATGAACTGATTTTGAATGATAAAATTTACAACAATTAAAACAATAGAATACTTATGAAATAACTTACAATCGTGACTAGATTTAACATATACCCTGGGCATTTGCCTAACGAACATATAAGGAACATTATAAATATGTCTATAGGATATTTTATATCATTTTTAAAATTACATTAACAAAAGAAAAATTACATTGTGATCTAATCCATTTGCTTTTCAATGTAATCTCTTTAAGAATAAAAGATCATTATAGTGGATCAAAATTAAAGGTTATAGTCTGCAATTACAGTGTTAAGTATTGGACCATTTAGTCAATAAAGTCGAGTAATTTTAATATCAGCTAATATCGACCTTACTGATTATTTTTTTTATGTAATTTGCAAGCAACTAATTTGATGATATTAAGAAACTAGGAGAGTTGTGTATAAATTTTATGTTTATTTCTGAGCTGTACAGTTTGTAGTAACCTAACTAATGATGCTTCCAGTCATATAAACAAACTAAGCTCAATCTCATCGTCATTTAATTGCGTTTACAGGCGAGTTAGTAGACCAACATCAAAACGGTTATTCTTATTAAAATTAACGTCAATGTGAATAATATGTGTTATTTTTTATTAAAATAACTATATTGCACGACTAACTAGTGGTAGAGAAGCTGTTACGAAATAAAGCTGACATATAAATGATCAAAGCTTACAAAATACATCTGACGTATCCCTTGTTAACTCTTTTTTAAATATTGTAGGAAATAAACGCTAAATTAACATTATGGTGATCGATAGAACATTATCAACAGCCTATTTTAAAGACCAGTTAGTGGATTACGTTCAACTCTATTGATCTTCAAATTTCGCATCTGTCCACTAGCTCAGGACGTCGATGTCATTAAAAACAACTGAATGTAATTTATAACTGAAAGTAGAGGGTACTTTAACATGTCTGGAAAATACTGTGTCCATTCTTTAAATCTTTTAGAGCTTATTCAAGAAAGTTTCTGATTGATGAAAGTTGTTTTCCAGCAGTAGTGTCGTAGAAACAACTAATCATTCATATTATCTATTAAATTGCAAAACCCTCATGTAGTGAGTGTAACCAATGTACAACTGTTGGTATTTGGTTTTTTTGGTTCCTATGGACTGTTGTAACTCCACCTGGAGGCTACTGCCGGTCCCGAGCTCGGATAAAGGAGGAGCGTTGAGCATGGGGTTTGCGACCCCATCCCGTAGAAAACGAACTCGCTAAAAAACGTTAACCAGAAAAAATCATTCAAACC